TGTCTTCTTGCCCGGGTACGCGGCAAGAAGAGGAGGTCAGAAGCAGGGTCAACCGTCCGTTGGACAAAGTCCAACGCATGGCTCTCTAGCGTGTGAGAGTAATGCCGAGAGTGAACGTACGCACGGAGACACAGACGGCTCGCGCAAGGCGAGTGCGAATGCCGGCGCGGAGAGCGGTCAACGTCGGTCCAACGTCGGTCCAATGTCGGTCCAACGTAACGGTTGACCCTGGGATACAGGTCTGATTCGCCTCTGAGACGGAAATTGTGTTTAACCCAAGCTTTTGGGAAAGGCAGATTGCGGCCAAAATCAGCAGTCAACAAACAAAAACAATTCAACATGAAGGCTTGCCTTTTGGCTTTTTTCATAACTCGATTTTTCCCAACTTTTCAAATGGGTAAAAAAAAATAAGTCGTCAATTCTCTACTGAACACGTGACAGCGCTTTCAATTCTTCGAATTGCTTACCAGAACAAATGCGTTTTTTGTGCTTTTCGTTCTTAACGTGAAGGATAGGTCTTTAGCCCGTGATTTATAGGGGAGATAGAATCATGGTTTTCTCGTGGACAATTCCTTTAACCTCTGATTTCTATTAAATAACTCTTCATCACAAGAAGCTAGCCGTCGTAGGCGTTACTTTCCAATGGCAAAATAGGTAAACACCAACTAAAAAATTTGATTTTAAACCAAATTTTGTAGGCTCTGTGCCCTCAAGCCGTGTTCGCTTTCTGGCTGAACCGTGACATCAACAACAACGCTGTCGGTGGAGAAATGACCCTCTGTGGAATGGACCCTGCCCATTACAAGGTACCATGAGAGAAGTTTTTCATTTAGGACCCAATAATAATGACATTTTTAAGGGAACGATCGCATGGGAGCCTCTGGTTTCAGAAGATTACTGGCGAATCAAGCTGTCAGCGGTCACCATTGGAGGAACCGCATATACCAATGGACCAGTAGATGCCATCGTTGACACCGGTACCTCGCTTCTAACTGGACCCACTGATGAAATCAAGAAGGTGCGGTTCGGCTGTGGTAGTGCTACCGTATACCCATATTTTGGTTTCAGATCCAAAAGAAAATCGGAGCTATTCCGATTGTCAACGGCGAATACGAAATTGAATGCAAACGTATACCTCAACTGCCACCAATCACCTTCACTCTTGGCGGCCAAGACTTCGTACTTCAGGGATCGGACTACGTCCTTCAGGTACCGATTTGGTGTTACCGTACCCGAACACTACAAAACGCAGCATTTCGCCTGTGATACGAAGATCAACCAATTCGTTCAGGTTGCCCAGAACGGTCAAACCACGTGTATCTCCGGCTTCATGGGACTTGACATTCCAGCTCCTGCAGGTACATAAACCCGCTTTAAACCCAGTCCTTCAATAAATGAGATAAATGGTTTTTAGGTCCTTTGTGGATTCTTGGTGACGTTTTCATCGGCAAGTTCTACTCGGTGTTCGACAATGGAAACAAGCGTGTCGGATTTGCCCAAGCAGCTAACGCACCCCCTTCTTAATAGATGTATCCAGAAATTGAAATTAAATAAATATTCAAGAAGGAATTTTTTAATTCATGAATCTGTTCGATGCATCATATGATGTAAAACGAAATAAAGTGCGGGATATTTTGCAAAACCAGTGAAAGGGAAAGGGAGCAACTGTTGTTTGAATGCCTTGGGTAACTCCCTTGCCGCCTTACGGGGAAACCAGGCTAACTATCGGTGTGGGTAAGAAAGGATAAACTTTCCACGAAGCACGACCCAGGATTCGATTCCCGAACCGCACGCGTGGTAAGCGCGTCACTTGCCACTACACCGCTTCCGCCCTTCGGTCTGGGTGAAAGTCATCAAACATGGTGTTTACAGTGAAGAGGCAACTTATTAGAAATCGAGGTAACAGTTGGTCAGTGGCGCAGTGATGAATAAAAAACCAAGAGGAATGTGTCCAGAACCCAAAAAATGGGTCCCCTTCCTTGATATCCGCATTAATGCGACCCTCATTGATGCTACCCTCTTGAAGTGTAACGCTCTCTCTGCAAACGGCCAGAGTCAGACGGCGAGAGGGTGGGCGGGGAAGGGCGCGAGCGGCGCGGGATGACCCTGCTATGAATGCTGGATGAAGGCATATCCTTCGCTGAGGAAGATTAAGCCTTGTGCTGCATCCATGGGGGCATGCCAGCTTTTCGAGTAGGTAAAATCTCCCTTTTTTAACCTTAGCGGGAATCCTCCTTTACTGTTCAGTTTGTAGCCGTAAATTTTGATTCGTGCTTTATGTGGCCGATTCTGCTAACCAACTCCCGTCATATGTAGCACTAGAGCCACACTCCTACCTTTCTAAGAAAATGGTGATCGATTAGTGATCTGATGGTGTCCCTATGGACGAGATACCGCGTTAACTGGTAATGCTGGGGTAGGTATGCATCGTAGAAGGTGACGTATGCCCTGAATTCTTGAGATTTGGTTCCTAGACAGACAGACAAGTCCGGAAAATGGTGAATAGAGGCTGGAGAGCGCTGAATCGCGCGGAGTGTGCGTCGTGCTGAGCAGACTGAATTTGAAGGGTTCCAATGCCCAATTCCATACTCCAAAGAACCGTGAGCGCCATCGCATCGCATGATACGGGGTGTCGTGAATGCAATGCATTCGAGCTCGCAGAAAGCATCTCCTTTTTGTAAAATCGAAGAGGCGAGACTTCAGAATGCGTGAGCAATTTTCGTTCTTCCCTAAGATCCTGCTCGTCCTCCAACGCTCGGTCCTAGTGGATGCCCCGTCTCTTGCGGTGACGCGGAACCGTGTGATGCACACGATAGTGCGCGGCTTCAAACTCCCTGAAAGATAATGGATATGGAGCGATTTAGCCAACACTTACAGAGTAGGCCAATGTCCGAACTGTTGGATTCTGTTGTTCCATCTTAGTTTGGGGCAAACTAACTGGCTCCAATAGGTTGATAGTCCCTGTGCTAAAGTTCTGACTTCAGGTTTATGCAAGATTGAAGAGACACCACTTGCCGCTACACCACCACAAGCTCACCTTTTAACGGACACATAATTCGGTCGAAGAGCTGTTGAATCAAATGAGTTCTGCGTGCAAATTTTATGAATACCTTTCTATCCGCCTGTTTTTGACTGCTTGTGGTTCACTGCTGATATCGGGCTAACCGAGTCATTACGTTATTAGTAAGCGTGCTGTTGAACCGTGGAAAATATGCTATCAAAAAGCTGAGCCAAGGCAAAGCCGTGGTGCACCGGTGATGTATTCGGTAGCACAACTGCACGGGAAGTCTAAGGTACGGGTTTGATTCCCGTTTGGGGCAAGGACTTGTGCTCATTGCCCAATATGTTTGCGATAATATTCCATCTCGTTCTTCGGTCTTATCCGATCGGTGGCTGGTAAGTTTTTCTGCAATATAAATTCCCGTTTTCCAGACTGGACGCCTGATCGTGTATAAGATAACTCTTAGGTTGTAAGGACGTTCTTGCCATTTCCAGTAGTTGGAAAAAATTAAAAAAAGAAGTGCATTCTAAAGCAAATTGAGAACGGGTGGTTCACACGCCTCTTACTCAAATTCCGTCACCGCCCTGATGGCTCCTCTCCGTGAGTAGAGTGTTGACCAGAAATCAAGGGACGGTAAAATGAGTCAAAGGGTAATAATGGAAAAGCATTGCCGTCTACATTCTCTTTTGTGGGGATGCGGCACGCACTTCTACTTCACAGTACAGTTCGTAGTGGGCGTCTCGACATTTCTAGTTTGGATGCGGTGTGGCCTGTCCCTGACCTAATAAATGCGCTAAATCTGTCTGCCTGTCCGCTGTCACGAAATTCGGTACTAAGCGAACAACAGCCTACAGGGTCTGGGTCAAGTGTGGGATAGGTGGGCCAGGTCTCGAGAAGTACAAAACACACATCAGCTGAGCGGAGCCCCGCCCACAGTGGGCGTGGCGTGCGTCGAAATGAATTGTACTGACGACCGAGATTTTCGATCTCTTACAAAACGACCTCGAAACTGGGCCAAAAAGTGGGTTAAGGTGTGCATTGGTAAGTCACATCGAATTAGGGAGACCCACCCCCGGTGGGCGGGGCGTTCTCCAAAAAAGCAGTGCTTTATGAAAAATTTCATAACTCGGTTGGGAGAAAGCCTACAGAGCAGAAAACAATTTGGTGTAAGGGAGCAATGTCTAAGG